AGCATGTCCATGATCATTCCTGGAAAGACGGATGGGCGTAAATGCATACTCAGAAGCGCGCGTGGTAGTAGGCCAGAAGAAAGTGGTATTTCCTGCCAACAAAAAATTCGCTGTTTGCATTTCAAACCTAGTTGCACACAACTAATGAAAATGAAACATGAAGAAGCGAATAGATGCCGCAATTAGCAGGAATCCTCAAAACCGCTGCCACGCGTGGCACTGCGTGCGCAATTACGTACCGTCTCACCGCGAGATACAGAGCGTATTTCGGATGGTAAGTGCATATTCTCACCTCTCATGAGATCTTGCATGAAAATTCCCCATGATTTTGGAAATGCACCAACTTCCATTTCGATATTAGTGTCCAGAAGTTGAACAAGAGTCCTGGAATTAAAAATGTTAACGCTTCTTGATGAAAACGTCTGAGGATATTGCACTAAGGCACTCAAACTTGGACCGAAAAGCACTAGGCTTCCTTCTACCAGCTACATTACTATTTGGAGAAACTGTAGCATAAAAAAGTCATCGAGCTAGAACGAAAAAGTGTTCCGAAAGGGGAAGGAACATGGGGGAGGATAGAGAGCAAGAAGTTGGTCCAGATTTTGCTTCCGTTTCGCGCGTGCTCGTAGACGAAAGTCGAGCAGAATCCCCTCATAATCTTTCGAACACAAGCTACACGGAGCCTCTTGATGTCCTCGAGTTTTCAGGCTACTTAGGCAGTGATGACCCTAATGAACTACTGTAGCCAGTCATGAGCTTCCGAAGGTGCGCTTGAAAATAGCCCTTGATCATTCCAAAGTATTCAAGATTATTTATGCGGTGAGCTTAACGCAAGGTACAGCATCGTTGAGAGAAACCCATCAGGGATTAGTACCGAAAATGAGGGGAGGGGCCAGACACTACCGTTTCACCGCTTCTGATGCCCTGTAAAGCCTCTAGTTTCAATTCAAATTGTCGGATTACATATGAAATTAGGGAAAAAAAACTCGGTGTGAAGAAACTGGTTGAAAGATCGTGATACGCGAACCGTATGTTCGAAGAAAAGGCTGGCGCACAAGCTTAGCTGGAAACCATAGAAGCTTATCCAGACCTTTTATTTGCCAACTGTCAATTTTGCCCCCTTTCTTAAATCACTCAAGTGTCTCATCCAACCTCAAAATGCCCTCATCAAATTGAACGGTTCGCATCTCTGCCTGAATGGTTAGAACAAACGAGACGAACACGGAGGTGAGATTCCGATCCGGGTTCACCACTCTCAAATGAACACGGTCACGCCTAAAATTCCGAGCTATTATAATCTTCTCTTCCCTTAGGAATTTCTTGAACGAAAGTAAAATCGCAAAGAGGAAATAAAGTTTTGTTCTTACAGCTCTTGTTCGCTGCTGCAATGCGGGGTCGTGTGTGGGGCGGGTATTTAGGTGTGTCGCATTACAGTTCTGTATACACGATTTTCGGTAACTATCTCAATAGGCGAACCAAACTGATTTAGAGGTATGCATCATCACCATCCACCACTACTCGACGCCAGCGCTCAGGCAGCTTGTCGATTCCTTCCTTCCAGAACGACGGGGGCTGGGACTTGAAGAAGTCGTCGAGTGCCTTTCTGACCTGATCCTTTGTTTCGAACTTTTTTCCGTCCAGATAGCGCTGCAGGTGGCTGAACAGCCAGTAGTCAGAAGGAGCGAGGTCAGGGCTGTAGGGAGGGGGCGACCATCAGCCATCCGTACTTCTCCAGCTCGGCCTGGGTCGCCTTTGCAGTGTGAGGTCGGGCGTTGTCATGGTGGAAGTAGATTTCCGCATTCCTTCCACGAGTACGGTCGACGTGATCTTTCAATTTCCGCAGCTGGGTACGTATGTGGAAGCATCAATCGTCTGTCCCTTCTCCAGCAGCTCCCAGCTAGTCCTGCTGCCTATTCTGACACAAACAGAAGCGGAACCTTTTTGGGGTGTGAGGTCGCCTTTGGGGCGGCCTTCTGAGCTGTGCTCCTTTCGTTGACACATTTGGGGCTTCTCAGCAGGGTAATCGTATGAGCGACACACTTTCGATATCCCAAGTGATCATCGAATTAAGAAAGTGAAGCCTCTTTTTAGAAAACGTATGACGCGCAAGAAGCAGGTGGTCCCCTCCTCGACGAGGTCATTATGCGGACAGTCATTGTGGGACCATCGACCAGCTTTGCCTACCTTGCCGAGCTTTTTTCCACGTGCAACCGTCGAATGATCATAGCTAAGCATGGTCGCCATTTCTCTGGTGGTGAGGTACGGGTCCTCCTCCACGGTGGAACGTAGTACTTCCAAATCCAACTCCATCGGCCGACCCGACCTCGGAAGCATCTTCGAGAGAAAAAGTCCTCTCTTGAATCTGAACGCGAACCAATTCTTAGCATGTTCGTGTAGAGATGCGTCCTCACCGTACTGTATCGTACCAGCCTTAGGTTATGGCTTACATTTTGCATTCCAGCCGAAATCGTGGAGCAAAACCAAACAGTGGCGCAGGTACGTTTTGTCACAGTGCAAATTGTGCGACATTGTGTACTGCAAATGCAAGCTCGGTGAGTGATAGCTAGTGTAATGAAAGAGTATAATGTACACGTCACGCACACGTGATGACGTAATACCAACATCCATGCGAACGAAATAGGAGAGGATCAAACACGTGTATAAGAACTTATGCGACAACCTAATAGAAGCAAGTTTGGCGCCGCGCCAGCACCTAATTGTGTGAAGCACCAGAGCTAACAGCGAAAATGCAGAGGAAAACGGGCTGGCGACTTGCAGAAGTCATCCCCGTAACCTCTCCCCTCACGATACGCCCCAGGATCGGCAGCGGTCAGGACTGTATGTCCAACTGAAATTCAATATTTTTGAATCTCCCTCTTCAGCGAAATGAGAAAACTTACTTTTCGAGAACCGAGTGAAGAGTGCGGTTGCCCAGAATGTTGCGTCGCCAACGTGCTCCACATTTACTTGAAAATAACATCAGTGGCAGAAGAGGTTGTTTAGGAATTCCCGTGGACAGAATTAAAGTCTTTTCGATGTGTGATGCGAGCCAGTAGAGTTGCGTCAAAAACTATAACCAGACCTTTTTCAGAAAAGCTAAAACAAACGATTTGAGAAAAATGGGCAACGATCTGCACCCGAAGAGTTCTGTGTGGGTCATCCCTATGGCGACATGGCGCGCAAAGCAGGAGAGTATAGTTTGCAACACAGGAATTTGCGGGGGTGGCGAGCACTGCATGAGCCCGCCTGCGGCTGCCCTGCTCCACCAGTGGCGATCGGGAAAAGATCAGTCCAGGAGGGATCGACCCAATTCGACGATTTCACCAGAAAGTCACTTTGGGCCTTGTAGGTGGTCTTTGCATTTTTAGACCACACTTGTGGGGATGTGAAGCGCAGCGGACGTGTAGGCCCTCCAAGTCACGGGCACCGAAGCTACGGGTCCGCGAAGTGGCAACCCCGAGGGGTATTTAATGAAGGAAAACAACCAATGCCGCAACCGCTGATTGAGACTCGACTGGTTGAGCTGATATCAGCTGTATTTCTTTACTAGTTTATTTGATAAAAAGCCAACTGGGCAGGGATGAGCAGGACGTCACCAATACTATCACAGCGGACTAGCAGACAATGGAATAATGGCCGCAACCTTACACGGGCCTAATCACTATGTAATACACTTGGAGGCGTGTATCACCATTATTTTCACTACTCAAATATGCGACTTTGTGGGGTCACCCGAGGCCGCGAACCGCTGGTAATGTAGCCCATGACCTCCTATCCTCCATTCCTCACTCAATTTATCAACTCGCTCACATTCTGTTCCTTCTCAATCACCGCGCGGATCTTTCTTGCATGCATCTGACTGCTCTTCCGTAGCCGTAATTGAGTTGATGAGCGAAAGAAGTGATTCCTCGATCGTAAGCTCACCTAGAATCTTGTGGTATTACTGGGCTTGTCACAGGAAGTTGTTCGTTCATCCATTCAAAGTTCCAATCGACCTGAAACGGTAGCTTGATAATAGGCAGCGTTCAGACTTGTCGCGCTTGAACGCGCGTTGATTGTCGCGCGCTGACGCGCTCAGGCACGCGTTGCTGCGCTTGAACACGCTACAATTACAATGCGCTCTCCATTGCGCGCTCCAATTGTACCAGACCCCAGCTTCCCTTTATGTTCTTTCTTCCGATATTCAATCCCTTTTTCACTGTTTCTCATTTCTACCTGACTCTTCAGCAACCGTTAGAGGGGAGAACGGTAAACGGTAAACGAACGGAAACAAAATCATTAGCACAGTGTACTTTATCAGAAACTACATTAAATTCAAAGTGAAAAAGAGGAGCTAAGAATCAGGTAGAAATGAGAAACAGTGAAAAAGGGGTTGAATACCGGAAGAAAGAACATAAAGGGAAGCTGGGGTCTGGTACAATTGGAGCGCTTGTAATTGTAGCGTGTTCAAGCGCAGCAACGCGTTCAAGCGCGACAATCAACGCGCGTTCAAGCACGACAAGTCTGAACGCTGTCTTA